TGCCTCTTTTCTATCATTAGAGCAACACTGGGCCTGCTGAGATAATACTTATTTGTAAAATATAAATAATAATAAAGAAATAAGGACTTGATGCAAACATAACATTCTCAAATGCAAATGAATAATCTAGGACAGAAAAATATAGGCTCCTGAATTCTGAGCCAACCTAGGGAAGGGCTATAATTTTCCACCTATTCCACCAATCAGAAGAAACACAAGAAAACTAAGAAACGCTGGGGCATATAATGACACTCCATGTTCTCAATACAAATGAAAAGGAGTTCTCAAAACATGATCCATCTGGTTTCTTTCTTTAGCACAACAATAATGACTGAATGAAACACTGAAGCTTAGGTTCATCATAACTACATTAAAAAAAAAAAAACAGGAAAATCCCAGTAGGGTCCCACAAAAACGTTTAACACATTCCCACATCTCTATGGAAACAAGTCCATAGGTTATCTGTAAAAACCCCATACATTATTTTAACGGGAACAGCTAAACAAATTGGCTCCAACAGAAATACAAATAAATGGATTAAAAACTGGCTATCTAACCGTATAGAGAGAGAAATCGTAATTGGTAGTCCGTCTAGTTGGGGAGAGGTTTCCAGTTGGGTCCCACAAGGATCGATATTGGGTCCCATTTTGTTTAATATCTTTATAAAAAATCTGGAAGACAAAGTAGAGAATGTGCTAATTAAGTCGACTGATGCCACTAGATTAGGATTGGTGGTTAAAGTAAATTGGATATAGATAAATGCTACTGGCCTTTAGAAAGACCAATGTTAACAGAAACTAGGACTTCTAAATAGTTATATCTTTTTAATGTATCACTTAAAAATCTAATTCCAAACATTATAAATAAGTAAATTTAAAAGATCTTAGGTTCAATGAAAAAGAGAACTTAGAGACTCATAAAACCCATGAATGCAGAATGAAGGATGTCCCCCCCAGTAGAGATATTCTCAGCGCAGCTTTATTTGGAAAATTGGTGGCTGTGGGTCTCTCAATACAATAAGGATACTGCAGGCAATTCACATATCCAAGAATAATGGTACTGAAAAGATGAAGTAACTAAATTCTCAAAAATATATATACCTAGTTATTGGCAGAAAAATAAACAAGAAAACAACATGAAGCTTAAAAGAAAAAAAGAGCTAAAACTTGGAGGCATAAACAAGAGAAGTGGCTGAAATTATCAACAGAAAATTCTTTACAGGCACATACAAGAGACACACACAAAATAGAAGAATGCAAGGTGTAACAGGAGGGCTTTCCTAACATTTGAAAAAGAGACTGCATTTTTTTAACTACTCCTAAAGATGCTTGGGAAAAATATTCAGTAGAACTCTTACTAGTTTGAGGTTTGTTTTAAAAAATCTTAGTATTTTGCAATTTAATTTGTCACATGGAGACAATTGTGAAAGTAATAGTGACTGTCAGTTATGGATTCCTGTGTATAGACAGACAGGCTTATTTAAGGTGATGTTAATTGAACTGAAAACATGGATAATGTGGAATTGACTTTTAAATTTTATTGGATAAGGACTGGAAAACCTAGATGGTCTCAGAAATCTTGCTAACTCTACTATGATACCTTGGCTATTTCATTTTCCTTAAGACCCTTAGTTTCTGCATCAGTTTAAACACAAGGCTGAGGATTGCTCTAAGAGCTGCAGATACTCTTGTTAAAATAAGACCTTACAGGAAGCTTATACAGAGATTAGAAAACTGGAAGTACACTTTTGCGCAACAGTGAGTGGGCTCCCACCTGGCTAGGCTTCCCATTTTCATTCCCCTCTGACCTCAGGACACAGAACAGTTTAAAAATCACTTTAGATTATCTGACATGCTGCCTCTGTCTCTTAAAAAAACTATCAACAGAACCTATAAAAGTGAATCCTTCTCCTCATGACTGATTTCTCCAGAGCATCCAACAATACTTAGTTGATTATACGTGCCTGAGCTTTAAAAAAAAAATGACTGTAGAATTACAGTTGAAAAGAAGGAACATTCTTGATAAGAATGAAAGTAGCATTATTCATAATGCTGACAAGAAAGACAGCATTGTGCAGAGTCCTCTGTGGGTCTCCTCTAACCTTTCATGCTGGGCTAAGAAAAAAAAAAAAAAGGAGTCTGGTATTATATTAGATAGTTACCTTTTAAAACCTAATCAAATGGCTGTAAGTATTCTGGCCTAAGAAATAACTGATACAGTTTTTGGTTGGTCTGTTATAGATTTTATAGCTAGTATCTGTTGAAAAATGATTTCTTTGCTTTCACTTTAAAACTTCCAATGTGAAACATTCCTCTGTAGATGATACTCTTGTTTTAGGGATGGGATTTCATCCTACATATCAGAGCATGTAAAAGGCACAGGCAAGTACCACCAATAGGACTGGAGATTGTAAATTTTATTTTAAAAAATAATTATGCTTATAATTGTATTAATATTCATCAGTTACCTAGTGCCAGTCATATGCTTGGAACTATGCTAGTCTCTCTACATTTTATCGTAACTTCATAATAACTGATGAAAAAGGACTTAAGTCCATTTTACAGATCAGAAAACTGAAGGGTCAGAGAGGGTTTTTTGGCCTATTATCACACAACTATTAAATGGTAAATGTCCAAACTGACTCAAAAATATTTGTTCAGAACTTTGTGCTAAATGGTAACTCCTGATACCATGATGTTATGCATGCTGATTGAGAAAGCAGAGAAACAACTCATACAATTTATGCTAAAGAGTTTTAAGAACAGGACAAGCATCTTATGTTTTTCTCAAGTTGGAAAGCAGAGGATTGGCATAGCACAGGGTTTTTTTTAACTTCAGAAGGATTGACATTTTGGGTTGGATAATTGTCATGTGGAGGCAGTCCCATGCACTATTCGATGTTCAGCAGCACGCCTGGCCTCTATCCACTAGATACCAGTGATAATCCCCTCCTCCTGGTTCTGACCATCCAAAACCTCTACAGACATTGTCAATGCTCTTCCAGGGGCAAAACTGCCTGTGATTTGAGAACCACTGCACCAGAAGAACTCTGGTATCTTTTTTGTTCTCTCACATTCTATGCTCTGAATTGCAGATGCAACATTATCCAAGAGGATGGGTTCTGCATCACTATGGGGTACCTGCCCATTGAACCATTCCCTACCTCCATCTTGTACACTGAATTTAAAACCATCTGAAGCTCTCCAGTGTTCAGTCTGCAACAAAACTGCCACTCTCTGGTACTTAAATGTATCATTTAAATGCAAATTGATAGGTAAAAAATAGGGTAGATGAAAGTAAAAAGAGATCAGATGTTATCTCAACTCAGCCTTGCATTAGGCAATTGATTGAGTCTCATTTCAAACTGCAGTCCTATGAGATAGTTTTATTTATTTATTCATTTTCTCTTCTTTACTAAAGCTACTCTTATCAGGAAAATCATAAAATGGATTTAAAAAAGCCTTCTCTCATTTGATAGCCTGAGAGGGCCATAATGCTACCTTGGAATCTATTAACAGATCCCAATAACTGAAACTCAGAGCATTTAAAAGGGATTGACAACTTCCTAGACCCTGTGGTTCACTGACTTATAAGGCCACACTTAAAATTTGCATTATTATGAATATCATCTCCTGGGAAAGGAATGCCTTTGATTATACAGAATAGCCCAAAATCAAATATCAGACCTATGGATATATGGAAAACATCAGTGAGTCAGAAATTTTCACTGGATTTGCTCCAAATAAAATTCAATGGCAGAGATGATTTATGGTATGCTATCCTTGGAATTAAATTGAAGTTATAAATATTAAAATGTCAATTAAATAATTATTGGATGGTTAACAATTCCAGATGGCTTAAAAGTATTACCATTTTCTTAGTTCCATCACTATGACCTATTTATCAAATCCACATTACGTATTATTTTATAAACACTATTTATGGGATATATTAAAATATCATATATTTTCTCATATATTTTGAAGGGTCTAAATTTGGACTCAGGGAAAGCATGTGCATAAATATTCTGCTCAGTGCAGAAAGTTACATAACAGGAAGCCAGGTGAAGTATTTTTGAAGTACAGACAGGTAGATCTATTGGAACTCTATCAATAGGCTCAAAATTAAAATTCTAAATCTTGAATTCAAATTAGAATAATATTAGGCGAATTTTAAAAATTATGATGCTTAGGCATACCCCAGGACAACCAAATCAGAATTTCCAGGGAAGAAACCCAAGCTTCAGTAATTTTTAATACTTTCCTTGTCATTTGATTGGGAACCCAAGATTGAGAACCATTGTTTTAGAGAATAGATTGGATTTAAAATTGTGTAGAAATTGTTTTTTGACTATGCCTGACTTAAGCAACATGGTGGCCTCTTGTACTCAAATGCTTCAAGGATTTAAGGTGGTAATGTGAAAGGCATTAACTAATTATCTGTCACTTAGAAAGTTATTTTTTTTCCCTTCCACTTCTCTTTCTATCCATCTGATGACTTCACAAACCAAGTGTCAGTTTGTTGCTGGTGAGTCTTTAACACACGTCTATACTTGCTTATTTCTCTTTTAAATCAAAGAGGATGCAGCGCTCAGGCCCATAGCCTCTATGTAACATAACCTAGAATTAATAGGGTAGTTTCATTTAAGATTATCTTCCAGCAAGTAATACTGATATAACTGATATGAAATTTCCTTTACAGATAAATTTAGATAAAATGAGTAAACTTAGATAAACATAAAGTAAATAATAGTACACATTCTACTCATAAATGGAAAAAGTCACAAAAGTGGTCTCAGATGACCAGTTTGGGCCACCCTAGTCTTAAGGTAAAGGGCATCTAAATGTTGTGTCATAAATTTGGGCCCAATTATGTCTCCATCACAAATGACATCTTCCCCAGCCTTTCATGTTCTCATTTGTTAACAAGACCATGAACCTATATGGCAGGCATTCTTCTATGACTTTAAGAAGCAAGGAGGGCTTGCCCTTTGAACCTACCTTGTTGACATCCAGGCGCATCTTCTCATTGTTGGCACTGGCAGCCTTTTCAGCTGCTTTCTTTTGGCGTTGAGGTCCCCTCCCAAAAAAGATGTAGTTGACCAAAGCATATTCCAGAAGGGCCATGAAAACAAACACAAAGCACCCCATCAGGTACATGTCAATGGCCTTCACATAAGGGATCTTCGGGAGAGTCTCCCGGAGGTGGGTATTGATAGTGGTCATTGTTAGCACAGTGGTAATTCCTGCAAAAATGAGACAGAGGAAGAATGTTTGTATTTGCTCACTGCTTTCATCATAGCTGGAAAGGTTAATTATACTCTTTTACTTTTCCATACATCCCACACAATATATGAGCGAGTGGGTGAAAGTCGCTCAGTTGTGTCTGACTCTTTGCGACCCCATGGACTATATGGTCCATGGAATTCTCCAGACCAGAATACCGGAGTGGACAGCCTTTCTCTTCTCCAGGGGCTCTTCCCAACCCAGGGATCGAACCCCGGTCTCCCGCATTGCAGGTGGATTCTTTACCAGCTGAGCCACAAGGGAAGCCCAAGAATACTGGAGTGGGTAGCCTGTCCCTTCTCCAGCGGATCTTCCTGACCCAGGAATTGAACCTGTGTCTCCTGCATTGCAGGCAGATTCTTTACCAGGTGAGCTTTGAGGGAAGCACACGATATATACTGGGTAATTATTATATATCAGCCCTGTGATAGGCCTGGGAAATATGCACAAATCATTAATTTATAATAAACATTAATCATTGGGGACATTTCCTTTAACCATAGCTTTATGGTTATAGTTATGTATCTAGTGTGGGACTTGGAGATGTGAATTAAATGCTATGACAGACATGTGTGTAAGATGAGAGTTGAGAAAACAGAGTTGATCCTAATTTAGCCCATGACGTGGCAGGAGAATGATCAGGAAATTCCACCTTTGGAGCTGAGTCCTGGAGAATGCATGGGAGTTACCCAGGCAACCAAAACCTGGAGATCAAAAGTGATAGTAGATACAAGGGTATTGGTAGTGGAGAGAGTTTTTTTAGGGAGGTGCTTTGTGGGGATGAAAGTACACAGCCCATCAAAAGAATCTCAAGCAATTCATTGTGGGTACATTAAAGGATATGATGGGAAGAAGGATGAGAAAAGTGAAGATTAAGTAAGGCCCGCATAATGGAAAGCCACATACAGAGAGCTTAATGCAGAGCTTGAACTTAAAACTGAAGGCAACATGGAGCCACTGACCAGCTTCAACCAGGCAGGCACTAGGGACAAACTGTGTTTAGAACAATAGCTCTGGCATCAGAGTGGAGCACAGACAGGAAGCTTACAAGACAGGAAATAGAATGCCAACTTAGAGTCTTTCAGAATAAGAAAGTAATGAAGGGGAAATAAAATAATTGTGTGTGTGGGTGTGTGTGTGCGCGCGCACACGCGCACGTGCATGCTTAGTTGCTCAATCATGGCCAACTCTCTGCAGTCCCATGGACTCTAGCCCACCAGGCTCCTCTGGCCATGGAATTTTCCAGGCAAGATCACTGGAGTGGGTTGCCAGTTCCTACTCCAGTGGATCTTCCTGACCTTGAGATCGAACCTGCGTCTCTTTCATCTCCTGCATTGGCAGGTGGATTCTTTACCACTAGTGTCATCTGGGAAGCCCCCAAATAATAGTAATAGTATTGAAATCAATGAATAGATGCTATGAACAAAGGGCAAAAAATATGGAAACTAGAGGTGGAAAGTAACAGGAAGCAGGTATCTAGCTTTCGTGTTTTGGGGTTGGGAATGTAGGCACATAACGCACAGATTAACAATACAGAAGTATCTCAAGATTCTTTATGGGAAATGCCACACTAGCTCAGGTTATAACTGTTTGCCCAGCTGAAGGAGCATCTTCAACAGTGGGGAGTAGTTTCCCTCAAAGCTATAACTGGAGGGACAGACAGAGAAATGCTGGATAAGAGCACTGGAAGTTCAAAGTCCTGAGGTTTGATAAGGTCCAGCTTTGTAGCAAAAGAGTGATGTGAAAATAGGAATCAGAAGCCAAGATCACACAGATGTGAAGTTGTGGAGTCAACATCTGAACTGGGATCTCTCTTAACTCCAAAACCCGTGTCGTTAAAACACTACCCAATGACAGCCCAATGCTAATTTTCAATTCTATTATTTTTTTAGGAACATATGTTTTCTGATTTAATTGTGTCTTTCTAATAAGATCAATCATACTTTTTGTCTTGTTTGTCTACATGTTCATGAAACAGATGCAGAAAAAATAAATTTGAGCATATAAATAAATATAAATAAATATAAATATAAAGCATATAAAGCATATATATATATAAAGCATATAAATATAATATAAATATAAAGATATAAATAAATCAAATAAATCTGATTCTGAGAATGGCCAGAAACACCATGGTTGATACTTTAGATCTAGGTGTTTTATAGTTCTCACATCTTTTCTGTATTAGTCATTTTCATACATTTTGATACATTTTGATACATTTCCCAATTTCACTTTTCATTATTTCATCTAGAGCTTATCTTGTATGACTATTACATGTATATTATAAAACTGACAATACTGATTTCACTACTTATCTAAATTTTATGTTAAGGTGTTTCTGACCTAGTAACAAACTACTCATGTAAAAGACATTTTAAACATTTCTTTAAAAAGTAAATAACTTACTTATTATTCCTGTAACAGGCATAAAATTGAAAAAGAGACTTTTATTTTGGAATAACAGGATATTTACAAGTTCCATTCATTACTGTATTCAGCAAATATTTACTGAACACCATTCACTGTGTGAGACACTACAGATATAACTGGAGCACAGTTAGATATGGGCCTTCCCCCAAGGTATCTTCAATACTATGAAGAAAAAGGATATCACACACCAAATAAATATAAGTTATAACTGTCATTGGTTTCCGAGGGTGTTCTACAGTATTTTAGGAGACTATATCACAGCGAACTTGATTCAGTCTAAGAGGTCATCAATCCTCCCAAAGTTATTCCTTTATATGCGAAATCATGTCACTTTGTTCAGTGACTCTAATTTCACTCAGAATAAAAGTAAAGATGTTATGATGACCCCTGGACCACTTCAACATCTTTTAGTTCCCTCTGCCTGACATCTGTACGCCAAAATGCAATCTGCACCCACCTACTGGTCACCTTGCTCACCTGTTTGGCACGTTTCTACCTGCGGGCCTTTTCATCTCGCTGAAATAGTCTCATTTAGATATTTATGCGACTCGATCTTCTTCAAGTCTTTGTCCATTAGCAATTACTGAATGAAGTCTACCCTGATGATGCTAAACTGTCCCCCTTCTTTTTGCTTACTTCCTCTGTTTACTATATTATGTAATTTGCATATTATATGCAAAATAAATTTACTTTTTACCTTTTACTGTTAGCACATAATTTCCAGAAGGGCCCTGGTTTTATCTCCAGTGCCTCGTATGTATGACACGTAGTAGGTATACAAAAAATGTTGTTGAATGAATAAATAAATGACTTTGCTAAGGAAATACTAATTTAACTGAGATTTACTGGTGGAGCAGTTAACAACTTTACATTTTATAAGGATTAGTCAGAACTTAAAATAATAAAGATCATGTAAAAGGTAATACATTTTCTATATCTTGAGCGTACAACATAAAAATGTTCATGAACTGTAATTTATTCTCTTCCTCTGATGTTATAATGGAAACACATCAAAGCATAAGATAAGTGATGCCATGGATGATTTCCCAATGTTCTTATACTTTGTTGTCTCCTGTCCCCTGTCATGCTATTCCAAAACCTTAATCAACCTTTAGAATTCTTTCTGCTCACTGATTTGTTACACATTGCATTTCTTTGTTTCTTACTCAGAAAAAAAAAAAGATGGAAGATAGCTCTTCGCAGGTAAGAAACCACAGTTAAAAACTGAACAATTTATCAAGCAATATTACATGAACTATGCTTCAATAAAAATATCCAGCAGATGCGACTAATTTCATTACTGACAGTTATATTGTTAACTAATTTTGACATGAAAGAGTTTTAATTAGTGTTCAATTGATTTAAACGCTGAATCAGATCATCCAATGTCTCATGTCCAAATTCTTGTAATGTGTGCAGTCAGGTCTCGTCACGCATCACCAACTTGAGGGTAAGGAAAAAGTACACCAGTGCATAAACACACATAGGCGCATGCTGCAAGCGGTCGGATCCATGCCTACCTAATGCCACTCTTGCAGCTGAAGCATCGTAATTAATCCAGAAGGAGACCCAGGAGAGGATAGTGATCAAGATAGATGGCATATACGTCTGCAGGATAAAGTAACCAATGTTTCTCTTAAGCTTAAAGCTGAGGGATAACCTGGGATAGGAACCTAGAAAGACAATTTTAAAACATCATCATTATCAGTCAGTATTTATAGTATACTTTCCTTTAAAGACCCATAAACAGTTCATATTTCTTCCCTACATTCAATTTAGCTTCTGGTGAAGGGCACTTCCTTATACAAAAGTAGTTGAGAAAACAGGGCTTTTAATTAGCAAGACTTAGTCAGTGTTGAACATATCCCTCACTCACCAGTAATTAAAAGAATTCCAGCTCTTCCCTGCTCAGCCTCCTACACTGAATCAAAGGTTTTCATTCTCTACAACTGTAATGATAAGACACCTTGAGACAGTCCCTTTGTTCCCCTTTTAATTGTTTCTCAGCAAGTCCATCCTGTCCATTTTTATACATAAGAATAAGGATGCACACTTTGACTGAAGGGTAAGACATCTCTTCAACAAGCCCCTGGATGCATTTTAAGGTGAGGATCAGTGGCAAGGCTTCAGCTGGTATAGCAACTACCTGAAATGTTGTGACATTTTCACGTGCATGCAGTATTTTTTCTGATTTCATTGCTTCCATCAAAGTTACAAAGGGATTCCTGACCCACCAAAATGTGGATGGAGAGTCACTTCTCCTGAGCAATATTTGTGGGAGATATAATTAAAGGATCAGATTCTTGAAACTGGGTCCTTTGATGGTGGGAATCTAGGGAATTATATTTTAAACAAGATATGTAACAGAACATGGTCTTAAAACATAAAAGAGTCACACTGATAAACAGGGTGTGTACATGTAGGGCAGGGGAGAATATTCTTAAAAATTGAAAGAAAGCCTTGTCTAGCCCTCATGGGCTGAAGCAAGTATGTTCATATTAAAGTAAAAATATTTTAAGTAGAAACTAATTTCCATAGCGTCTCAGGGGTTCAGAGGACCTCAAATCTAGGAAAAGTTTCTGTTGTTCTCTTTGTAAAGCTGGAGGCTATTTTGTATTCTTGTTTGAAGTAATTGTCAGGGACAGGAAGTACCTGAGTCCTTAGCAGAAGGACAATTCAAGATCTACAGTTACAGTACTAGCTATTTCTGTGCTTGAGGAATTCATTTCAATAAGAAAAATAAAAAGAGGTATATTCCTGGGAGCTTATTAATTTTCTTTTAGTGAGTATGGAGAAAATTATTACATTCCTGGGCTTTTTGGTTAAAAACCATGCTGACTAAAACAGGCCTGACCTCAGTTCTGGAAGAGTAAGATGGTAAAGGCATCGAGACAATCTAAACATCTGGAAAATCTTTTAGCTTCGAACGGTAGGTAAGGCTACATAAGGAAAGTCCTGCCCTCTAAGAAAAACGTGACATCCTCCTATCCTACTGTCTTTAGAGAATTTCACTGCGGTCAGACCTGGGCAAACTGTGACTTGGCTGTCCTCAGTGTGTTTCAAAGAATTATAATCAATACTGTGAGATGCATTATGCTAGGGGAACAACTCTGACCCAGGTTGTTTCTGGGTCATTTCTCTCTGCATACGCCCTCTCTAACACTTATTCCCTCCTCTAGTATATGAGACACATTTGCTTTGCTATGGTTACCTTCTTGAAAATAACTGGATGGTTTCCAAATGGGCTTGCTGGGGAACTGAGCATTTTCACAGACCTAAGTCTTCTAGAGTCCCCATTCTTTCCTGGGACCCAATCCTGATATAAGTGAACTCTTCTGGAAAAATATGATAAATCCCCTTTTCTTTTAACCATTTCCCCCGATACAAACCTGTGGAAAAAACAACCTTCTTGGTGATCAGTTTGTAATCTACAATAGAGAATTGTGGAAGCTCAATCTTGGTTACTCCTGTCACTGCGTTATCATCCCCACGCCAGTAAAACTCAATGTCATCGGTTGTATATCCATCTGTAAAAGGAAACACATATACAGATGCACAGAAGACACACAAAATAGAAAAAAAAAAAACTGTTTAGAAGATGAACTATGTAAAGTATAACAGCTACAGCTAAAGGTTATTATGTGTTAGGTATCATGCCAAGTACTTTAAGTATATTACCACCTTTAATCCTTACAATAATCCCACTGTGGAAGAATAATTAGGCACACATTACAGAAATAGGCTTAGCGAAATTAACAGCTTGTTTTAAATCTTGTAACTAGGAAGTGGTATCACTGGGACTTGAACCTAGGTTTATCTGATTATGAATCTCATTCTCTCAAATATTATCACGTTATCGCTTAGCCCTGGATGGTACTCTAAGAGAAAAAAAAGAAGAGAAAAGTCATTTATCAGTATCGCATAGTACTATACAGTATACTGAATGGTACTGAACCCTCCCCTGCCAATAAAAAATATTTGGATTTCAAGTTGGAAAAGAATGATTATGAAGAAGTGACCATTAACTTTTTAATATTCACAGATGTGATCTCTAAATTTGACTGTGTAGCATATCTAAATTCCAAAGAACTCTGTAAAAATTTAAATCAACATTAATTCCAGGAGTTTTAAGAGTGTAAGTACAAATGAATAGTGTACACTGCGAAGACCCAGCACATTTAAGGAGTCTGGTTCCATTCATCTAACAATTACTTATTGGACACCTACTATGCTTGTCAGTGCAGACTTGCTATATAATAAAAGCATTTTATTTATAAAATAATAAAAGGATAATTATCCTTTCAATTCATGGGACAGAGTGGGGCAAACATACATTTACTAATTAGTGAAAGTGAAAGTCTCTCAGTTGTGTCTGACTCTTTGTGACACCATGGACTATACAGTCCATGAAATTCTCCAGGCCAAAATACTGGAGTGGGCAGCCTTTCCCTTCTCCAGGGGATCTTCCCAACCCAGGGATCACACCCAGGCCTCCCGCATTGCAGGCGAATTCTTTACGAGTTGAACCACAAGGGAAGCTAATTAATCACTAATTAGCAAGCATAAATATAACTGCAAAGAATAGACACATTTTATATTGTAAACAATGACGTAGAGGGAAGCATGCAATGAAATCCAGCAAATATCAATATTTTACAAACTCATCAGGCCCCCATAAATCCCCCCTCAAAGCACACATTATATTTGTTTATCACATTGATCTCTTCAAAGAACATCTGCGTCCAGATAGTTGAATTTTTTTACAAGTTTAGGAGCTATAAGTAAGTAAGTGAAAGTTGCTTACTTGTGTCCAACTCTTTGCAACCCCATGGACTGTACATCCATGGAATTCTCCAAGCCAGAATACTGGAGTGGGTAGCCTTTCCCTTCTCTAGGGGATCTTCCCAACCCAGGGACTGAACCCAAGTCCTCTGTATTGCAGGCAGATTCTTTACCAGCTAAGCCACAAGGGAAGCATGAAGAACGCATATGGCTCCCCCCAATTTCAAAAGCAACAAAACAAAGACTTTTTTTTTAAGACTTAAAAGACTTAAAAAAAAAGACTTGTTTTAAGTTTAAGTTCTTTGCTTTTTGACATGTGACTAGTTAGTGTAACATTGAGGACTAGAATGCCAATCCTCTAGTTCTTAGTTCTTGAGATTTCTAATTAACCACATTTCTGCCAGAGAGAAAGTAAAATCCCTGAAAAAGTGAAAGCAAATTATTTTTCAAAGAATTATAGTACCTCTATTTGAGAATCTGTAAATCATAGCAATGTCAGGCAATATCTTAACTTTTCTAGAAATATGAAGTTCTCTATTCAAAAGAGTAATCTTCTTTGTGTGATAATAGAAATTAGTTTTTCTGGAACAGTTATTGAGGACGTGAACTTGTGATTCCATAATAATAGGTTTTTGGATAATAGCTAATGATTTTAAAAAGGGTTATTTACTTGCAAGGGCTTTCCCAGAGGCTCAGTGGTAAAAAATCTACCCTAATGGAGGAGATGAGGGTTGATCCTAGGGTTGGGAAGATCCCCCGGAGGAGGGAATGGCAACCCACTCCCATAGACAGAGGAGCCTGGCAGGCTATAATCCATGCAGCTGCAACAGTCTGACATGACTTAGTGACTGAACCACCTCAACTATCATGTATGTATAGGTTCAGGGAAGCATCACCACAATAAAACTGTCCCACACAGAAATCTCTTGTGTTACCTTTTACAGTTGCATCCATGCCCAGAATGGCTATACCTTCTTACATTCTCACAGCACAGTATGACAGATCCAAATGTTCTGCATACTGTCTAGCATTTGCTATTATTACTATTATATTTTGTTAGCTATTTTAATATATGTGCAATAACCCTTCTTTGTGGTTTTCATTATCATTTTCCCAATCACTAATAATGTTGAATGTATTTCCTTGTGTATATTTGTTATCTGTTTATCCTCTTTAGTGAAATGTCTGTTCACTTCTATTGCCCATTGTTTGTTTGGGTTGTTTTCTTGCCATTAAGTTTGGACAGTTCTTCATGTATTCAAGACATAAGTCATTTGTCATACATACTGTTTGCAAATATTTTCTCCCAATCTGTAGCTTATNAACTTACTCCTAATTTCAAGCAAGATAGCTAGAAATGTATTATAAAATTGAATCTATGTATACACATGAAAAAAGTATTTATCAAACAAGAAGGCAATAGTTTTCTAGAACGCAGCCATCTTTGAAAGAATAGGACAAGAGAAAAGTCAACTCAGTATTTCCAATAGAGCAGGGTCCCCAACTCTGTGGCCTGTTAAGAATTGGGTGGCACAGCAGGAGGTGAGCGGCCAGTGAGCCAGCTAAACTTCATCTGTGTTTACAGCCTCTCCCCATCTCAAGCATTATGCCTAAGCTCCACCTCCTGTCAGATCAGTGGAGGCTCTCATAGGAGTACAAATCCTACTATGAACTGTCCACAGGAGGGATATAGGTTGTATGCTCCTTTTGAGAATCTAATGCCTGATGATATGATTCATGCATTATGATGATTTGTATAAGTATTTTTCCATACATCACAATGTAACAATGATAGAAATAAAGTGCACAATAAATGTACCATGCTTGAATCATCCCCAAATCATCACCTCTGCCCCTGGTCCACGGAATAATTGACTTCCAAAAAACTGGGCCCTGGTCCCAAAAAGGTTGGGGACCATGGCAATAGAGGACTAAAGTAGTAAAGAGTGTGTTTCTGGTCCTCTAGTTTCCTTTCTTCATATAAAACCTTCATTTAAAAGTAAATTTTTAAAGTAAAATTTCAGTATTTATCTTTTTTTTTGTTCATCACTACAAATCTTGTTAACAGAAGCTTTCTGCAGAGAGGCATGGAATATCAATGGCATTTCAATACAGCTGAAGAGGTGAAGCCTAATTGGTTTTTTTAAATAGGTAGAAACATTATAATAAAATATAGGTTTCTTGTCAAAATGCCAGATATTTGATATAGTGCTCGCCAGACAATACCTTGCAGAGAATAGGTACTTGGCATCAATTACTGAATTAATAAAACAAGTATTTATATTTATGTGGATGTGAACAACAGTTGTATATCCAGATGCTTGGCATTGTGAAGAGACATAACTGTCTCTTGATTCGAGCAGAGTACCCGGCACACAGAGTACCTGGCCTTAAATAAATCTCTTCTGAGTAAATTCAATAAAAGTCACCTGATGACAACATAGACCTTGAGTATAATATAAAAATCCTTCATTATACATTTCTCCTTATATATTAGTTGGGCAAGTTATCACCTTATCAGCTTCCTGAGAAATCTGCATGCAGGTCAAGAAGCAACAGTTAGAACCGGACATGGAACAACAAATTGGTTACAAATTGGGAAAGGAGTATGTCGAGGCCATGTATTGTCACCCTGTTTATTGAACTTATATGCAGAGTACATCATGCAAAATGCCAGGCTGGATGAAGATGCAATCTTCATGCCAGGCAAGATGCAATCAAGATTGCCAGGAGAAATACCAATAACCTCAGATATGCAGATGGCACCACCCTTATGGCAGAAAGCAAAGAACTAAAGAGCCTCTTGATGAAAGTGAAAGAGGAGAGTGAAAAAGCTGGCTTAAAATTCAACATTCAAAGAACTAAGATCATGGCATCCAGTCCCANGCTAAGAGTTGGACACGACTAAGTGACTTAATTGAACTGAACTGAAGTTACCTAACCTCTCTTGATCCTCCATTTTCTCATATGAAAATTGAGATAATAATAGTAATATCTACATCACAGAGTTGTTAAGCAGGAACAATAAACTGTTCCTTGTAAAACATTTTAGAAAAGTACCTGGTAGATAGTGCTCAAAAATTTACCTAATACTTTCTTTTTAAATAAGAATTATTTAAAATAAATGAAAACATGTATTTAGTTACATGCCACTTTGCTATTTTATAAAAACATATAAGCATTTTCACAGTGAGAAAACTTAGCTGTTCAGTGACATTTATAGGACTGTCCAAAGTGATAGTAAAACATTTGAAGGTTATTTTGATGTCTGGGATTATGGAATCTGACACAGTGGAGTAGTAGATTGTATACACTTCTTGGCTATTGCTGGCTTAAAAACCCAACTTTCTTGCCTTCATTTTGGGTTAACCAAGTATAGAATGTTGCAAATGGAAAGCAAATATAAACTCCTGTATCATCGATTTTTGTAGATGAAAGATCAACAATCCATAACAGTGCCAGGGTGGTCAAATTCAAAAGCCAGCTCAATATACTGTGTAGGATTAGCTGAAAGCAGAACTAGTTTTCTTCCTTTCTTTGAGTTTTCTCTGAAGGAATGTTTAGCAGTCTCTCCATGTGATTAAAAAATAAAAGAAAACATATGCAAATACATAAGACCTGACTTTACAGCTTTCATAATGATAATGAGTAAAAAATAATTAAATATCTTTTAAAAGATATCAGAAGGAAGAGATGCACTGATGTTCCTCATTAGTGTCTTGCAAATTAAATTCATCTTTTATAT